CTGGCATGTCAGCTTTTAATTAAAGTCTTTCATAGGCTAATTAACTACCCCTGGAAAATGTAGTGTCAGTTGGGAAATACACCCAGATACCCACCCACCTAGACACCACTCCACACATACACATCTCATGGCGTATGCTGAAATAGTTTAAGGTGAATGGCGGACGGTATAACACCCCAGTACATGTTAGGGCAAAAAACCTTATTTGCTGGTTCTCCACTTGTCCTGAGGGCTGTTGATAGCAACCTTTATTGCATTCCTACAGTATATAAATCACTGGGTCGGAGGCTGTGGAAAGCAGAATAAAAAAATATAGTAACAATAGCAAAAATTTATGGAGTGTTTCTACGTGCCAGGCACTGTGCTAAGTGTATTACATGCTATTTCATTTAATCCTCAAAATAACTTGATGAATGAGGTACTATTACTATCTGCATTTTGCTCACGGCACCTTAGTTTTGTTCCCACCGTTTGGAAGGTCTGTGGGTAAGTCCGTGGCCGTGGCTGTGAGTTGCTTGAACGCACATATTTGCAATGTAGAGAATTTTGTGGAGTAGACGACAGCGTTATCCCGTGGAGCTGCTTGTCCTTACGCGCTGTTCAGGCTACTGAGCTTCAGGGGGCTCTGCTCTCTAATCTCTTTCTCTCCTTCTCCTCAAGATCCACCTCCCAGGGTTCCAATACTTCTTCATTTTAGTGATGTCTTTATCTCTCTATCATTTTCCCCTTCTTTGGACTTGAGGTAAAAGGGCAGGAGAAAGTGGATTTTGAGGTCCTATACACAGAAGGAGTAGAAGAGGCACAATGGCCCTATTTCTTTTAAGGTTCATAGCGATCTTTCTAGTCTTAAGGCACCCACTCTTTAGCAAACCAGGAGAAATTATTATAATAATTTCTGAGGGGTTTAACACATTATACTATAAGTCCAGCCCATGTTGGGGATCGGATGGGGCAAAGTGGGGTAGGGGGTGATCTTATTTCTCGTGGTCCCTTGGGGATTGATGGGGATTCTGCCATCCTGTCACTCTACCATCTGGGAGATGTGGCCTCTGAGGTCTCTGAGGAAGGGAAAGAGTGCAGGCTGTGGTTCCCTGGACAGGGACTGACACATGTCACTTAAGCTCATATTTCGTGAACACAGCATGTGGCCCCACCTTCCTGCAAGGGCCTTTGGGGGGAGGTCTTCCCTTCATTCAGGAAGGAAAGGAGAATTGGATATGAGTGAGAACTAGCGGTTAGTACTGTAGTGAGCTTTAGATTTTGGGTAATTTTTGATGTTTTGTGTCTTGGGAGGCTGTGTACATTATGCATACTTCCAACATTGGAACTGTCTCCCCGTGTGAATGATTTCACATTGAATCAGACTCAAGTATACCCTTAACCCACGTCTACTCTTAAGAAAAACAAACAAATGGAACTTTGAATGTGAAATAAGACTATACTGGGAGCTTTTGTGAGTATTCCAGTTTCATTTTTTTCTAAAGTTGTTCTTCATGGTAGCCTGTTTATTCAACTCCTGAAGTGGTGTCAAGTGAATAGTATTTAATCTGTGAAAATTTTCAAGTGGCCTCTTTTTCTCTCTCAAGTGTTTTTCTTTTTCCCCCCTTCCCCCCTAAGTGTTGCTGTAGTTGTTTTAAGATTGAAGCAAAGTTTTTGACTTGTAAAAATTACTTATAACACATCAGCTAGCCCATGTAAAATAGGGCAGAAGGGTCATGAGGCTTAGGTATAGAACTTCTGGAAACATACCTCACCACTGGAACTGGTTATGATTCCTGGGTGCTGACATGAAGATCAATAATGTTTAACTCCGCTTTTGGCAATTTTTGCAATCTTCATTGCATTAGTCCTTTTCTTTCGAAGTATGACCTGGAACTGAAGTGATAGCAAATGTTGCACATTTTATGCTGCCAGATAAAAGGTTAAATTTTCATATGTTACATGCTCTTAATACACACACACACACACACACACACACACACACACACACATTACACATATAACTGGATCAGAAGGAAATGACTAATTCTCCTAAAAATGGAGAGATTGTCCTAGTTTTTACATTAGGTGACTAGTTCCCAAGCAGTTAAGTCATATGCAAAACTTGGGAATTCAACCTATGGGTCTTTGTGCCCTGACTATACCACAGAGTTCTGATTTTCTTTTGTTTTTCTGGGAAATGATGGTGTTCTTCATTTTGCCAAGTTTTATTATTGAGTCAACTGCCAAAGTTTAAGAAAGAGCGTCCAGGGCCTTAAAATTATTTGGTGTTGAGTGAAGAGGCAGAGAAAGGTATTTCGTATTCCCAAACAGTTTAACCTTTATGTCTCTACCTGATGTCGGACTATATTCTAAACTTCATGGCTTTTCTGATTTTTATTTAAATGAGGTACACGGTTGAGTGGAGTGAAGTCTGAATATCAGCGAAGGGAACTGTAATCCTACTTATTGATAGCCAGTTCTTCTAATTCGTATCTTCTAATTTTTAATAGGCTCTCTTCTTTCTTGCCTGATCTTCCCTGCAGTTAAGCTTCTGCGCCTCAGAAGGCCTGTGTCTGCTGTGGCTTTGCACCATCTGGAAGTTAAAATTTGACTTTAGAAATGACGTCATACTTGCTTACTGCAAACTGGGCTAATGCCGGTTGCAAATTGGACGCAGTTCAGGTCAGAGTTCTGTCTTAAACAACAAGAAAAGCCTCATTTCTTGATTCTAGGAGATTGTGCAAAGCTGTAAAGATAGCATCAAGTTGATTGAAGGGCACGATGCAGATTCCTTTGAAGCCAAGTACATGTTTTTGGGCGCATGGAAAATAAAGTCCCCAGCAGAAGACCGCAGCTGGTACGGTCACCCTCCTGCCGTGTAGAGTTTGGGGGTCGCGAATAGCATGTCGATCATGACCATCGTTGCTGTCTGTTTTATTCCTGGAGAAATACTCGTGTATCTCTTCTGGGCTCGGGAGGATACAGCGGGGCCCAGATAGATTGCACACGGCGAGAGGGTGCTGCAAATGTTAGGCGTCTTATTCATCAGCACAGAGGCTTTTCTCTTGAACTCTCTCCAGCACCACTCCCTCCCTCCCTTACTGCAATTTCCTCACATCCCAGGTTTGGATGTTAGGCATTTCCTTTATTCCAGACAGAGACCGCCCATCTCTGATGGCAGGAATGTGGGGCTAATGGGCCCAGTGTCTTCTCAGGCTCCCACCGAGTCCTGATTGGCCTTTGTGCAGATCTCAACGGTTGAACGTAAACCCTTGTAACCACACCTCAGCTCTAATCTGGAGCATTCAGCACGAACTGCCACTATCCAAGGAACCCTTCAGATGCCATCTGTTACGTAGCCACTGAAATCATGTATTACCGCAGGACATGATGAAAACCCAGAGGCAATGAGTGGCGTCACTCTGGGTTGGTAGATGAAGATGACTTTAAACAAAGATAGGCCACATGAGCATCTGGGAGGCTACAGCCTTAGTGCAGCCGGCATGAACTTTCGTGTAGCAGATGGGTGACCCCCAGATGGCGAGTGTCCAGCTCTTGCCCCCACTCACCTTGCTGGGACCTGCTGCTTCATCCTTCTCTCTGGGAGATAAACTGGAAATGTCTCCACTCACCCACCTTTCCATCACCTTTGACCTTTAGAAGCGCGACCTTGGCACTCCTTTCTTGGAAAGGAGTAAGAAAAGGAAATTCTACTCCAGTGACGTTTCAATCTGTAATATTGTCCTCTGATGTATTCTGCCTACGACTGATTCCTGCCTTCAAAATGTCAGGCACTTAGAGACTAGGTGTTGCAACCTCTTTGTTTTATGGCTGGGGAGGCTGAGACTGCCACCCTTGGTGGCAGCAGTGAGAGTTATTTGTCCTGGTCCTCAAAGCTGACAGAAGTGGAGTCTGGTCTAACACCTGAGTGTCTTCTTACCGTTGTTCCACGTTGCCTTTTGACTCTGTTCTCATGGTATTTACATATCCATGTATTTTGGTTTGCTCTGGTATTCCTGCAGCCTTTTGAAAAAAAAAATGTTTGTCCTTTTCCCTCTTTTCATCTAAATTTTACTTGCTGGTCATATAATGAGCAAAGTGTTCCATAAGATTTGCCATGAGCTGCAGCGGCACCCTACTTACCCGGTCCCATTCCTTCTTCCTTGAGACAACCATTTTAATGCATTTTACCCGGTTATCTTGACATCCCTGTCACATGGCTGCGAGGCTGCTTCCTGCTTCCTGGTGTAGCTGCATCTGTCCACTTCCTCGTGTGGAAGGTGAGGGTTAGTCTCCACCACTCCCCAGCCCCCTTCACCTGGGTAAGCATTTTTTTGCATGTGGTTTTCAGAATGTTCAAAAAAAGAAAGCTTTTGTTGGCTCATTTTGTTACTGACATTTGAAACACAGGAATTGTTTTAATCTAACGTTCATGCTAAGGTAGGAACAGATACTGTGTATGTTTTGAGCTTCGTTGTTTCTTTCTGCCTTTAGCATTTGGGAAGCAGCCTCCATAATGCTTCTCTGGCAGCATTTACATCCTCTTGGCAACATGTACTTTGCTAATGTAGGAGTGTTTCTCTCCATGTCACCCTCATTCTTCCAGGTGCCTGTGGCATGGCCGCCCATGACCTGCATGTTCCTGGAGGTGCCACTGGGTGCGAGCAGCATTGCCCCCTCCCCAGGCTCTCAAAGACATGGTGCCTCAGTGGGTTTTGTTGCCCAGCTAATTATGGGTTCACAACATGGTGACACACTGCTATTTCATACTGTCTGGTTAAATGCGTATCTTCTACTTTAAAATAACATATCACCGCTGAGATGCACATGCCCTGGGCCTTGAAGGTCGATAGAGGCTGGGCAAGTGCAGGGCAGCAAGGTGCCATGAGCAGAGGTGTGGGCCGGTCCGTCATGCTTCACTCAGTGGGCACACTGCCCACCCAGCTCTGGGCCCGGACTGCCGGTGACTGCCGGCTTCTGTGTCAAACCACCACCTTCTTTCTTTCTCCTGATTTCAGGTAGATGCGCTGCGGTTACGACTGGAAGAGAAGGAATCTTTTCTCAATAAAAAAACAAAACAGCTGCAGGACCTCACTGAAGAGAAGGGGACACTGGCTGGAGAGATTCGTGACATAAAGGATATGTTAGAAGTAAAAGAAAGAAAGATCAATGTTCTCCAGAAAAAGGTGGGTGGCTGATAAGCTCTTCAGGTCGAGAATTGGTAGCATCTGTGGTGTGTCACTTCAGAGAAATATTGAGCGTGTGGAAAAAAAAGAAATTATGTTTTAAGAGTTCTAGATCAGGAAGTACAAACTTTTAACTTACTGGTGGTTGAATCGTGTCTCTTTTAGCACATCCTGGTGAGTTTTCTATTTGATGACATGAAAACTAACAGCGATGACATGTTTTTTTCATTTGCCAGCTTAGTAGAGGTAATTGTACATATTTAGTTAGAAGTCTAAATAATCGAAAGTCCAAAAAAGTTACTTTTTCCTTTTTCGTTCCTGAGAGTTGAGCAGTGTATTCTGTGGGCCGTAAAGGTATTGTAAATGCATTTTGTATTTACATGAACTGCGGTAGATCTTACCTGCCAAACCCACCCGGACTTCAGCTGGGGTAGTGGGGGTGGCGATCTTGACGCCCTTTATGTAACTGGCATCAGTGAGGATGCTCAGCAGGTCCTAACCGCAGTGACCTAACACGGGAGATGCCCCACCTGCTTGGGGCCCTTCTTTCTTCCAGCAGATCATTTTCTTCGGCGTAGGGGACCCAGGACTTGTGAGTACACCCTGATTATCTTTTGGAGAATTCCCATTAGCTGCTGTGTATCATTTTGGTGGCCCTAGGAAAAGGGTTGGCAAGAAGAGAAACCACCTGCTCTTTTAAGAGAGAGATGTAGGGCTCTCAGAACCGCGTCCCGCCAGCACGGAAGCCTGGCGGGGAGCGGGGTTGGGCTGCGGGACGTGCCGCAGACGGTCCTGTCGCAGGTGTCCGTGCTGCGGCTGCCGGCACACAGACACTGCCTGGAACCTGTTCTCAGCGTCAGTTGCCATCTTCACCATTCACATCAGTAGCATCCGAGCTGTTTTTCCTGCTTGCATCCTAACCTTTCCTATAGCCTGTTCTCAGCACTAAAGCTGGAGCATTCCTCGTAAAGCAGAAAACAATTCATAATCACTCTCTGATCAAGACTTTCCAGTCACAACCAGCTACGTAGTTTGTGGAGCCCAGTGCAAAATGAAAACTGGGGGCCCCATCTGCAAACCTTAATTGCAGAGTATTAAACCCAGCATGGGGCCCCTTCTGAGGGTGGCCCTGGGCAGCTACATGTCTCATGCCCGTGTAGCCATCCCCATCCCCAGTGGCCTCCATCCTTACTCTCAGGACACTGGTGAACTGGTGGATCATATTGATCCATTTTTACCGAGATCTGCACAGACAAGGCCCAAGGTGCTGGATCCCCCTTTTGCAGCGCCACCTAACTGGTGCAGGTGATTCAAAGAGGGCTGGGAAGGGATGACTCAAGTCCCTTGAACCAAGGGGCTGTCCCAGGCAGGCAGGACGAGCGGAGAGGCAACTGCAGCGGCGGTTCTTGGAACACATACTAAGACGACTCTGCCTGTAAAGTCCCCAACAGCGAATGGGAGCGGAAGCTGACATTGAACTTCGTGACATCGAATGCTGCATGCGGAGGCTCTGCTCTGCTCCGTACATGCACTGTTTACTTACTCTTGACCATGACCTTGTGAGGTGGATACAGTTATTAAGCCCAAGGTCACACAACCCAGATACAGACTATTTTGCATTTGGGAAAATATAATAAAACGGTGCCTACAAATTAAGAGTATAAAGCGTCATTTTCGTTTGGACCTCAAGTTTTACGATGATGCCATCCGGCGTGGGAGGGAGTTGAGGACACCATCGCAGTCGCTCATCTTACCAGGAGTGGAGAGTAAGTCTCTCATTCTCCAGGAATAAATGGCAGCTGTTTTCTCAGTGAAGATTTTGGGAAGGCACTTTTGATGCATGCATGACCAAAGACCACGTTTGCTGGTGAGCATGTTTTGTAACATTTCAAACTTCCCAGCCATACCCAGAGGTTTGGGAGCCAGTCTGGAAGCTGTGGGACCAAGCTGGTTGAGCATTATGGCTGCTTTGGGCAATGCGATCACCATTCCACTTCCTGACAGCCCGCAGATAACGGGTTTAGAGACATCCCACGTATGTGTGGCGAGGTCACTCGGCCTCCAGTTTTCGCTCTCTGTGTGTTTACCAATACATTTGGGGTGGAAATAAATCTGCTGGTGGCAGAGCAAAGGGGTGAGAGAGAAATAATCCCCAAAGAAGTGATGCACAGGATTCAGACACTGACTCCCGATGCGGGGATAATAGAGAGGCTAAGGGGCCAGTGAAACATTGTCTTGGGACTGGAGATGCCTTCAGGTTTTGGCAACATTTGGCATAACCGGCTGTCTGAGGGCAGGTCTGGAGTGGACCCGCGTGAGCTTTGGATTAGGGCATGTTGGCATGGAAGCAGCGTAAACCGCCGTCGATGTCAGGGCTGCAGCATGACTTGCTATTTCTTTCTCATAGACGCTTTGGCAACCAGCATGGTGTTTTGATGCCAGTAGACTGGGTAAACTCCTTGTATAGCCATGTTTAACCTGGTGAAGCCAGGCTTGCACCTTGCATCCATCGGCTTCGCTGTCAGCGCCCTGGGTCTTAGGGTCTCATGCACCCCATCTGCCATGTAGACAGGTCACACAGCTGGGCAGCAGGTATGGAGACAGTGCTCTGAGCACTTTGCTACTGGAGGAAGGCAGTGAGGTTGAGTAAACAGAGAACCCCCGGTGGCAGCAAACCTCTGATTGAGCTTCTGCTGGAGAACACGGGTCCTCAAGGATGGATTTTTGGTCTTCCTGCCGTAGGTTTGGTCTACTCTGTAACCCAAGATAGGGAGTCCTTTTCCTGGGGACATTAATGAGCATGGATGAAAGCTGTTTAATGGAATGTCCCCTGTGGTTGAGATACTGGAGTCAGAGAGCAGGACGGTTTTCCTGCTGCAGCCAGAGCGTTTTGCTCCCAAACCTGAATTCAAACTCCCACTGATGAAGTGCTTCCTGGCTATGGAGTTTCTGTAGGAAATGTCATAAAACCCTGATGCCATTGTACATTTGGCAAGTGTATAATGCACATGATTTTAGGACATGGTAGCATTAACTGAAACAGACCAAATTCAGACCTTTATGGAGCTCATAGATTCTTGCAGCATACACTAACTACCCAAGAAATTTTTTTAAGAAGCCATTAAATTGGACAAAAATTCTATCTCCATTTTCATTCTAGGTCTCAGTCCCATGAGCAATGTGAATTCATAGAACAGAGGTACTTTATTTCTTAGGGTTGGAAGAACAGATGGTGATTTCTCTGGAAGCCAAGTTCGTCAGCTGCCTACCAGGTGTCATGGATTGCCCCGTGGGTTGGAAAGGATGGTGAGAGGCGGCTGGAGCTGGCGCCTGGGAGTATGTTCTGTGCAGGCATATATGGACCTGCCCACTCCAGCAGCTTTATCCTACCCATTTGGAAGTGTGGTGGTGAAAATTCAGAATGACTGTAAGCCAGAGATACAAGGATACTGGGATTATCCTGGGTGATCATATTGGGTTTCTTCATGAAGTTTATCAAAAAAGCAATATTTGAGAAGATGACTACAGATCAGAGAGATTTCCACATTAGTGTAAAAATGATATAAGGTACGGAGGACTTTATGACTCAGCTGAGCTCTTTTCCAGTGTTTAAACAACTTCGTGAACTTTCATGATTTTTATGGCAAACCTCCTGATTTTTTGAACATGTGCAAAGTCATATTCATTTTGCATTTACTGAGTGTTTCCTATGTGTCAGTCAGTCACTACTCTAGGTCTTGGAGGGTCAAAGAGAAATAAGATATTCTCCAGTCCTCAAGAAGCTGACAGTCTGGGTGGGGAGATAGACCTGCGTAATCCTAAATATTAAGTGCAGTGGAGAGCAATGTGGCATGTTACCAGAAGCAAACCTACTTGGTGGATACAAAGAGCAGAAGCTAATTCTGACCCCCGTAAGCAAAAAAGGATTCATTGCAAGAATTTCCGAAGTTCAGTATCTGCTGGTAGATTAGGGATGGTTAAGAACCAGGACTGTTCTAGGAGACCGAGGCCAGGGAGACAGTGCTATGACCGCATAACCAGGAGCGACTGGTCAGGTGTCTGCTCACCTGATGGCGGCCCTGTCATCCTCCCCATCTGTCTTTCCATTCCACTGTTTGTCAAGATTTGCTATCCTGGGACAGAGCTCCAAATTTCACACAAGCACCTCTCATAGGCAGGATCTAACCAGACCCTCCCCAAAGGGAATCTGGGAAACAAGGAGCCAGGCTTTACACCTGAGCTTCCTGCTCAGTTCGAATGTCACCCACTCAGGGGAACCTTTGCTGATGCCTCAGGCTTGAAGAGGGTTTACACTCTGGGTTGTCTTGGCCCCGTTTGAAATCATGCATCCCTTTGGTGAATGTTGGCTCACCTCCTTGAGTGCCCTAACCGTGATCATCAAGATACCTACAGTTCCTTGCAAGATTCTTGGCAGTGATGGTTCTCAATCAGTGTGTGCACTGGGTGAATAACTTATATCAGCAAATTCTGAATTACTGAGAACTTGGGGGAAATCACTTAGAGATCCATTCTTGGCCCAAGAATATTGTTAGCTGTGACAAGAGTCACTGGCCCCTGGGACATGTCAAGCCCATTCATTCCCAGGACAGTATGTTCTATGTAGGCTGCAAGATGGGACCATCCCATGAATAATAAAACTCAGATGAGGAAATAACTGCTGCTCTGCCCACATCAAACACCTCTGACCTCATGGTTCCAGTACCCTGGGAAGGTAAAAAAGGGTGACACTGAGTACAGGAGCTTAGCCACACTTCCTTCATTTTCCTTTAAAAAAAAAAAAAAAGAACATTTGGCATTTATAGAAAAGACTGCCTTGTTTTGTGCAGAGGTGCTTCGCCTTTAGGTCTCACTTCTAACTTACTGGGTTGCCAGAGACATGGCCTTTCATGAGACGATACAGTGAGATTGCTGATTACCCATGGTCATTTCTAGTTATGATTGTGCAAATGATCATTGTTATAACAAATGGATTATCTGCT